CAAGTGCAATTATACTGAAAAAAACCTTATTGAAGATTGTACATATGTGCTACAGATAAGTATTTTCTTGATTTTGGAAAGGAAATCTCGGTGGCCGCTTTAAAATCCTATTTTTGCAAATACTTGCATAGTTTTTGTTGAAAATGAAATTTGTGCTAAGACATTTTTCAATGATACCAATAAAAACATTGAATGGTTTTTAGATAATCAATAAAATTACTCCCTTGAAGTTGGTCATTGTTTCCCCTAAAAATTTCCAAATCGCCGATGTTTCTCACGAAAACACGATGTTAAATAATAAGTTAATTCATAAGTTATCTTCATCATAAATGGTAAAATCGGCAATTTTCAAGTGATGTTGCTAGTGACAAAACTTTGTAACAAATGTTACAAATATATGTTATGAAAAATGCGGTATGTTTTCCTTCAGATTTATTTATGAATATGGGAGAGGCGCCGTTTTATACCCGTCCGACATAGAATGTCGTAAATACTCCGAGAGGGACGGGGCGTTATGCTTGACTTGAAATCGTTTAACTTTGTAATTTTAAACATGTTATATACTGTGTTAACGTACTCTTGTAGTTCTACAACTGGTAACACGTTTTCTTAAACTACATTTTCTGTATTTAAGATTTACATTTCATTTGTACATTTCAGATCTATAAGTGTGCAAACATGCATATGTATTGCATGCAATGGAAGATACGTTCATTGAACGCCGCATTTCCTTGTTGATCTTGTTTATCATATTTTGTAAATTTGTTGTCGTTTTAGATGTTAGGTCAGTTGTTGCGATCTATATGTATCCTTGTAATATAAAGGCGGGAACCTTAAATTAAAAGATTGAATTAAGAGGCATATTATGTGCTATGCACGGGTACAATAAAAAATGGTAGGCATACAAGTTCGTATTTTCAAAAGTCATTTAAAAAAAAAAACACTTTACATGTCTGGAATATTGGCAACGAACGCCCTCCATAGAAACATATTCCTATATACACTCAATGAATTAACGCAAATCATCATGAATCGTATAATTTTATGTAAGTATGCACTCCGTCCGTAAACATCTGCCGAAGCTCTCGAGCTTAGTAAATCACTTGCCTTGTTGGGCTCGAACTTTAAATGAGTATTCGAGCTTCTGAAGATGATAATGTACAAAAGCTACATTATAGTAAACTAGACTTAAAGGACATTCACTATTTTATATTAACATAGTTTATATATAATACACAAATTAGAAGAAGTTTGGTCACAGTATCAAATGGGTGAATTAAATTTTATTTACACGAATAGACAGTATAATGACAAATATTATAGAGCATTTTTCTTCTTCGAATGAATCAATTTCTGTTAGATTCAAAAGTATCACAGGGTTATTTCATATGCATTTATTTTTCAATATAAAAAAGTGAAATAAAAGAGTACTTACCAAGTTAACAAAGCCTATTTAGTTCTGTTGTTATACTTCCGTAATAGCTTTATTTATAGTTGTAATGTATACAGTTAAAAGCCGGGACGTTTATTTATAGAATTGATTCTGTACGCACGTGATTACCTCCCCTTTGTACCTGATAATAATAGGTATTAAGTACCCGTGGAAATTATCAAATAAAGAAAATCTGGTCGCTCTGTCATGATGGATCAAGATAAAACAAAAATATATCTTCCCTTCATATGTTGCATTAATATTAAACAGATGAATCAAAGTACATAAGTACAGATGGGCTGGTTCACAGGTTATCGGCGTGGGACCAAGCCCTACCCCTAAGGTACCACCCCCAGGACCCACTATACTACCCAAATATACTTCAATACATTCAAAATACATGTCAATACAAAATCAAACAATTCTATCAAAAAATATAATACTGATACTATAAACTATACAGTTTATAGTATCAGTATTATATTTTTTTGATAGAATTGTATTTTGAATGTATTGAAGTATATTTGGGTAGTATAGTGGGTCCTGGGGGTGGTACCTTAGGGGTAGGGCTTGGTCCCACGCCGATAACCTGTGGGCTGGTTAACTGTCACATTGCATCTAAAAGAAGTAAAAGGGATTATGAGAAACTATATTTGTGAAGTTTGCATAAGTACGGTCATTTTAATGAGTAGGTCTATAATTTGAATTAATTTCTTGAAAATTGCAATAAAATATTCAAACATGCGGGTAAGGTTATTTACTCGCAGCTTTGGTACTGCGCAATACCAATTTTCCACCGCTGCTCGTAACAAAATACAAAGACTCAGAAAGCTACTACAATATGATATTCCGTATTTATTTGTCACAGAATTATCTGAAGAGTAGTAGGCCTATAAGTTATAAAATTGGTATCATAGAGCCTATCAAATATTTTAGATAAAGATGTGTGCACACAAATTAAACTGTTGTCACAAGATTAAGATAATGAAAAAATAATCACGAGATTTCAAAATATTCCCTTTGTTTTAAGATTATGTATTTCTATAAGCAATGCCTTAAATAGAATGACATAAGTGCAAGTCTGCATTATTACATACAGTATTTCCATACAACAGGTTATTTACTGTGTTTTTTTACTACACGTAAGATAAAGGGAAAATTAGATTATGGAATTTTTCATATAATTTGTCAGATCATCAGCTAGAGCTAAAACCGATTTTAAATAATATGAATTATTTGTCATATTACTGAATAAAATATAAGCAAGTGCAACAATTTAATACAATTCTAATGTTTCGTCTAAAGTAAAGTTTTAAACTAAATAAAGACATTAAAATACGCACTTTTCAGTTTTCATTTGAATGTATTAAAAGAAAAACAACACAAGTTTAAATTTAAGGCGAAATTGTTATGTAAACCTTTAGCAAATTAAATATACGGTTAGAAAGCATAATATTACTTTCTTTCAGTACAATAAACAAGATGGCCATGATGACCTCAGATCGCTCACCTAAAATCCATTTCGTGAATGGAAAGTGTGGGGGACATTTTGTGTCCAGGGGTATGACTCATACAACTTTCTACTAAATGCCAAATATCTAACATTAATGATATGCAAATTCAGGCAAGAAGATTAAAATGTGTTTTAAAAATTATTAAGAGGTCCAGGAGGCGGAGCCAATTTTAACCATTGGGCGGGGTCAGGTGTGACACTAAGGACTTGCTTCGGTCAAGCTACAAAGATATTAAGACGATATTTTTTCGTTTGCGTGAAATATGGAATATATTTTCACGAAACATGATAAAATGCCACATATTTTCACGAGCCGGTACGGCGAGTGAAAATATGTGGCATTTTATCATGTTGAGTGAAAATATATACCATATTTCACGAAAAACGAAAAAATAACTTTTTTATTTAATTTCATTATCAAAGAAATAGAGAATAACAGGTTATTGTCTTTTGAGAAAGGGTTTCTCAGACGAGGTTAGATATGGTCCTGGAAGGGGCGAGGCTTGCCGAGCCCCTTCCGGACCATATCTAGCCGAGTCTGAGAAATCCCTTTCTCAAAAGACAGTAACCTGTTATTCTTTTTATCATGCCTCTATTATGATTTTGCATCTTATTTTTTTTTAATTCGGGGCGCTAATTTCTGAAAGTACGGTAACCACAAGAGGGTTATACGCCAAAAAAGTAGTCCGAGTGTTTTTACCAATAATTTTATAACACAACACAATTTTTGGTACAATTTGCTTTAACAATTTATTTACTGTGTATTATCATAAATATTCAGCAAAGTCAATCAAACAATACTAACAATAAACATCATCAGTGCTGATCTGGCGTAGGAACATAGTGTTCTCAAGTCACTGACTGAGAAAGGTTGCTGTTCTCAGACAGGCTTTATCAGGCAGTTGTCATAGTAATTGCATGATAAAATGGTAACGAATCCCTTTGCTTGCTACCATCTGCAATTGTACAGCGCGCAGTAATTAATGCGTAAGCACGCGCTGTTTGGCGCTACATTGTGACGTCATGTAAACAACTCTTTAAACGTCTGTACAGCGTTAATTACTGAATTAAAGATATTGGTGTTCGGATTAATTTTCTTAGTTAGACCATTTTCTATCATGCTAGATAGTTTTCAAAACAAAATTCAAGAAAAAGTTGTTTTGTATTTATCAGATTTCTCAAACAAAACGGCGAAAGAAGTCCCATAAAATAAATATGAGTTTTGACTCCGCCCACTTTCATATTTATATTTCATATTTATTTTAAAAAAATATGAAATATATTTGACTGATATAGCACCATATTTCATGGGTAAAATTAAATAATAGACAATATTACACACAATACACGTTAAGATATCTTACCTCAAGACCTTGTGCTTTGTAATATGAAACAAGAATACAAGATTTTTATAGATTTTTCCTGTATTAATCTATGTAAGATCAACTGACCAGTTCTGTCCTATAAGTCATGATTTTAACAAAATTTGAAGAGGTACGCTAGACCCTGATGTACATCACCACGTATCTTAATTTCATATATAAATCCGTGACATCACATAACTGTTTTAAAGGTTTTCCTATATAAGACAATAAAAAAAATCAATTATCACAGGAATCGGGGCCAATTTTGATACCAGTCCTGATTTGAACAAATTTGGTAGTTTGGTAGAAGTCTACTATATAATGACACACACCTCATACTTTAACCTGGCCATATCCTATACGAGTCTGTGTATAAACAAATAACCCTCGCGCAGGGCAAACGTTGACCTCAGGGTCATGAATTTAACAAACATGGTAGTGGTCTTCTGTACAGTACTTCACTTCGAATAGCTAAGCTAGATCTAATCTAAGCTGTTGGTATTGTGGTTTTGGAGAAATCGACCTTAAATGACTAAACTTAATCAATTGATCCCTGGAACGCAGCACATTTTAACCCCAGTGTCATGAATTGAACAAACTGTGTAAACTGCGAGCTTAGGTGAGCTAAAGCCAGACACGTTTGTGCGTTATTGTTCTGAAAACGGTAAAATATATGAATAAATGTTTTTTTCTTAGCATATATTTCCATTGCATTAATAAACATATACACATATATGTATGTTCCTAATAAAAAAGAGATTCATTGATCGTAATGACAAACAAGAAGTATTTTTAAAAAAGATACTCGGCCAAAGTTAATCTGTTTTTATTTAAAAGTCATTTTCCATTTTAGTATTCAAGAAGAAATGTTAAATTTAAACTTAGATATCCCATCACATTAACTTCAAATTGAAAAAAAAACACATAAAAATCTGCGCAACCGCAGAGGAAAATTCGTTTCCGAAACTCCTTTAGATTAATCAAAAAATAAGACAATTTCACATATCCTTTATATTATTTTACTTTTTTTTAAGAATTGCCAATGAGATTCTCAGATTAATGTTTGACCAATGAAAATTTTATTTTTTTTCCCTGCAATTTTTGCAGAAGGTCAAACGTTTTAAACCCACGTTTTGAAGTATGTATATTGGATCAATGATCCAGAAAGATTAGAAAAATATGATAACACAATCCTGAGATATGTTCGGGTTTTTTTTTTTGTTAAAGCTGCCATACAATACTTAACATACTAGTATTCTGTTGTAATAGTAAGTTTTATTCCCTAAAGAATTAAAAATAAATGGTGGAACCCTTGGCTCCTCACCGTATTATGATAAAACAGACTTTATTAAGCATTTTCAAATGTAGGCTGCAGTCAGAATTATCAGTTATATAAATTGAATATTTTGGGCAAAATAAAAGAAAATCGACAAAAAACAATATAATAATAATAATAATGAAAACAACATAAGCACCATAGTTTGGAGACTAATACTGAAAGAAAAAAACACGTTAAAAGTTGTAAATGCTGTCTTAAAACAATCACATCATTGCAGTTTTAAGGTACGATTTCTTTTTAACGCCTGGTTGAAATGTACAAGTCCTATTTCCCATATCACGAAAGATTTTCCCCATTGAGCCTCGTCCTCTAAAACTATTATTTCTTCCCTCTACATGTTTTACCCTCGGAGGGGATCGAGGGGATTTCGGTAAGGTTTCACAACTATGCACCAGTCTGTCCATTCGCTTCCCCTTATCAAGGTCTGCGTTGTCCTCTCCCTCAGTTTTAACCCTCGGGACAGCCCTTGCGGACAGGGGCGTCCGACCGTATTTGTGAATCAAATTGTTCATGCGTTTACCTTTATCTAAATCAGCGTTGTCCTCACCCTCGGTTTTTACCCTCGGGACAGCACGTGCAGACTGAGGTTGTTTAGCGTAACTATGAATAAGTTTATTCATACGCTTGCCTTTGTCTAAGTCGGCGTTGTCTTCTCCTTCAACTTTGACACGTGGTACTCCACGTGCAGAGAGGGGTAACTTCCCGTAACTGTGAACAAGTTTTTTCATCCGGCCACCTTTATGGGTAGTTGCTGTATCTCCAGCTTCCGGTTTCACCCTGACAACTCGGGGAGTAGCACCGAACTCCCCGTACTTTGTAATTAGGTTACACATTCTAAAACCTCTACTGACACGTGCAATACCTTCCGCTTCCGTTTTAATTCTTGGTGGGGCAGTTTCCGGTCTAGGAGACGCAAAACCATCTATTATCGGCTTTATTGTTCCATGACGTCCATGCGTCCAGTTATCAACGGACTCTCTGGTCGGACAACGGGGCTCAGGCCTTGGTGACGCAATGCTCTCTCCATAAAACGCCCACTTATCAATCGAACCTCTATTTCTGTTTAGATTGTCTTCCGCGCCCCATTTAACCCTCGGAACTGGACAATCAGGACTATAGGTTCCATCTAAATCAAACCCAGGGTACGGAGGTACTGGGCTCGATCTTTTCTGTAACTCTTCTTCGTCCCACAAAGCACCTGGTGCCATAGTTAATTCTGAAAAATGATTTTACTAATATTAGAATGTGAAACATGCGTAAGTTCGACTTATCCGTATTTAAACAACTATGATATATACGAAGGCCGTGTACTTTTCCCGGAATGATAATAAACAAACGTAAAGAACGGACATTGGGCACAAACAACAGACATTAAGAAGGGGCATCTGACACAACCAACAGACATAAAGAACGAAAATGAAGAACTGATATAAACAGTACATAAAAAGAAGAGACATATGTATTAGACTTATAAAAAACAGACAAACGGTTTAAGATAATGGTATACAATTGAAGGTTATAGTCAACAGAAGTTTGAATTATTAACGAATGAGCGCAAATTACGTATTCATTCAATTAGCCTGATATATTTGTGTTATTTTAGGATTGACATTCATGTATATTGATTGTTTACGTAACTACAAATGAGCCGCGCCATGACAAAACCAACATAGTGCGTTTGCGACAAGCATTGATCCAGACCAGTCTGCGCATCCGCGCAATCTGATCAGGATCCATGCTGTTCGCTTACAAACCCTATTACAAGTAGAGAAACTGATAGCGAACAGCATGGATCCTGATCAGACTGCGCGGACGCGCAGGCTGGTCTGGATCCATGCTGGTCGCTTACCCACTATGTTGATTTTGTCGTGACGCGGCTCAAATGTAAAAGGTATTTTCAGACCACACCCAATTGATAGTTGCTAGGTAAAGCACAACACAGGAATACTCAGTATCTAGATGTCCTCATAAAGAGATATTTTCAGTTAATTACTAACTTGTAAAACGTCTTATTGTCTTAGACTGATAAATGCTTGATCGAGCATTGGCGTTTCGTGGGATTTTAAGAAGTACCCTATTTAACATCATTAAAATACAACTTGTCTTTGTAAACATGTACTTAGAATTAAACTCATCAGAATATCTATCACCCTAACTGGATAATATGACAGTAAAAATGGATATATATATTTATAAATGCTGATATCACCAAAGAACTATCATTATAAATAAAAATGTAATATCAAGATATCATTATTAAAAAATAAAATAAAATGACAAAATGTCATAATTCAATTGTACATGTAATTTGACGAAATAATATCAACAATAAAGTGTATATGTAAATGTAAAATTGGGGAAGAGGGGGGGTTGAAAGTTCACTGGAGTACAACAATCTTCGTTTACATGTAGGCCTAATTAAAATATACTAGTACGTAATGAAAAAGATTAAAGATTTCAAAGTGGCTATACGCACCTTTTAAACGATTGTTTGATAACTCGAAACAAAACAAAAACAGAAAATAAACTGTGAACATACCTCTAGCTTTGCTGATTTTAATAAGCCTTTTGATTTCATTTTAACGACCAAACTAACTCTGCATTATTCAAATCAAGGTAGCATTTATCACGCTGTCTTAAATCAACAACAAAACATTGTATATGTACAAATATAGCTTACTGCGATATCTCCAATGTAAGAATGTTTTTGGCACACTTTCCGCTACCTAATCGATAAGCTCTCAACTGTATAGCATTTATAAACAATGTATTTAATCAATCCAGTTTTGATTGGTTTTATGTCTGATATTTAATGTCGGATTTTTTATGTCAGATTTTGGCTTGAGAGGTTACTGACAACCGTAAGATTAAAAAGAGTGATTTTAAAGGCCCATTATGCCGTGTAATGGCTTTTATTTTTATTTCCGAAAAAAAAAACAAAACAACAAAAACATTTTTTTTTGTATACTATTATAGTTTCCAAAAAGTAAATCATTGGCCAATTACCTGAATTTTTTTTTTTTCATCTGCTGCTTTTTTTGCAGTTTGTACAGTAATTTTGTATAGAAGTCAATATATTACTTTGTTTAATTTTGCTATACTTTTATGACACATTATTGTACATTTATCGCTACTTTCTTCAGGATACAAGCAACGAACTTGCTCTAAAAACATTTTTTAAACGTTAAAAAAAATCATGTCTGTCCATTCTAGTTTAAAAAAGCCTGCGTCTCAACATAGGGATCATGGGTTTGTGTCTTGCCTGGTTTACGACCATGTTTTCTTAGAGATATCAGCGCTAATTAGTAAAAAAATGTTTCCTACGATCAAATATAATTACGTCACGCTAAATGACCGCTTTCTGTGAGTATTAATATACCAGTAATCACACTAGTGTGCAGTGTGCTGAATTGATTGAAAATCTTTTGACTTACAAGTTCGGTGCTTTTAAGAATTGCCCAATTTGTCATTCGCAGTATTACACATAAGCAACTTACCATTTTAATCCAGATAAACATGTCTTAATGAATCAAAGAAAAACTGTAAAGATATATACATAAAAATACAGGATCATTAAAAGCATTCACCAAGGTGTTCTCTCATAAAGGGACTATCTAAAATATTTTCACATGTGTGTACTTTTGAACTTGTGTGCAAAAGCTCAGTTCAGTCGCTCACATTTTTCATTCCAGAAGTAACATGAAAACATTTTTAAAAATGCTGTTGATTAACTCAACACGGATTTAGTTTGTTATAAGTCGCACCAACACAGTATAGGTCATATGGGGACGTTCCACTTATGGT